CAAGATAGGAGCAGCCCAGGAGGGTGGCCAAGAGTAGCATGGCCAGGAGGGTAAAGAGCCCCATGAGGCCAGCAGGTGCAGCTGGCCCAGCAGCAGGAGAGAGGTATGGGGGGAGGGGGAGGTGATCCCGGCGCACTCCATGACCTTCTGCCTTGTCGTAGCAGCAGCCTGAGCAAGACCCGAGCTCTAGTGTGCCAGCAGCAGCAGGGCCAGCAGGCAGGGCTGCGGGCAAGCAGATAATGAGATGGAGAGGACCAGCTCGGCAGTAGCAGCGCTCCCACTCCCGTCAGTCCCTGCACTTGCCACCTCCTGTACATGAAAAAAATAAGACATCCCCCCAAAATAAACCCTACTGCTTATTTTGGAGCCCGAAAGAAAATAAGACTGGGTCTTATTTTCAGAAAAACACGGTATATGGGTGTGCTATTCTAAGAGAAGAAGCTGATTGGTTTTGGAATGGTTTTGATAGTGTACTGTTGTTTTCTCTCTCTCTTTTTTTATCAACTGTTGCTACTTCCAGCTTTCACTTTTTACTTTCTGTATTTTTTTTTATTACACTTCATTCCCATAAGGGTTTCTATATTTGCTGTTACATAGCTTTGGTGCTGGCTCTATAGTTTACATATATATTTTAATTTCATCTGTTTTAGTATTGATAGCAAGGAAAAAGTTGGTCATAAATTAAAATCACCATTTTAGTGTAACCAATCCATGGCATGCAAATTGGAGCTGGAAACAAATGGGGTGGTGCTGAGCTTGCATTCTCATGACCCTCTGGTTGAAATTTTGTTTCTAAAAGTCATCCTCCACCTTGGATGACTACAGACCTTTGTACTGCCATTCTAATATGGTATTTTTTTAATATATATTCAAAGGGTTTTCATCTTGTGTGCCATTTCCTTTGGGGCTACTAGATTATTTTTAGGGGTTTTGTATAACGATTAGCATACTGTGATCCTAAATTCATGCTTCAACAAGTTTTGCTGACATTTTAAAAAGAATTTGCTGAAGTTGTTGTAATTGGATTTCTTGCTTTTGTCTTCCACTTTCAACATTAAAAAATTGATTCATTTATAGCTTATCATCCCGACTGCCTCATCCTGTTTCCCTAAGTATTAGGTTCCTCTAATACTTCAATACTCCTCTAATAGTTCAAAGAACAGAATAACAAAATACAGAAAGTATAACAGAAAGGCAAGAAAATAGCAAGAAATAATAAAACACTTTACAAAAAAGTCCAAAAAAGTGCTACAAATTATGAAATAAGCCAGCAACCAAAATTCAAACTAGCAGATCATAGAGAAGTATGTGATTTATTTCTAGCTTGGTGATTCATATTACCTGCACAAGATGCTTACTTGGAAATTAGTTCTTGACTTTTTCTGAATGTGTGGAAAAGTCTCTTGATATGTTGAAAATTGTTGAATTGTTGAATCTTGAAAAGATTAAAGACAGACAAATAGATAAGCAAGAAAATTAAGTAATAGTTAAAGAGATGATTAATGGATAGATTTTAAAGGTAAAGTCTCCTCTGTGTCAGACTCATCTTCTGGTGATTTATACCAGAAGTCAAAATATCTCTGAGTCAAACTCAGAGGTATACCAGAAGTATAACATTTATACCAGAAGTATAACATTTATACCAGGTCAAAATAGCTCTGAGTCAACCTCATCTTTTGGACATATTTATACAGTTTTCTTAGCAACAGGATAGAAGTGGTTCTGACAGATAAATTTATCAGATTTGATTGCTCCCACATCCAATGATTTTGAATCTGAGGTATTTCCCATAGCTTCTCTAAAAAATGCTGAGAATATTGATGTTTTATCAAAACAGAACCACTTGGCTCTCTCACCTATCTGTACCTGCCAGATTGATTGAATAAATTCAGTTTGGCCATGTCTGAAGGGGCCATGCTGAATTGTATCTGTCTGTGTATGAAAGCTGTGCTGGTAATTAGAGACATGTTTGAACAAAAAAGAATTAAAACTCAGACTTTTGTGAGACAATCACTGAAAGCCCTTTGTTTCAATGGACCAAACTTTGCCATCTATGTTCTTGTCTTCTTATGGAGAAATTCTGGACATTGGGTAATTTTGAATTTATAAAAATGGAGCAAATGAAATGAATATCTGAAATATATACCAGTATATGAAAAAGCTACACACATTATGATAATTTTTTCAGGAGTTGAAGGCAAGCAAAAGGAAATGAAGAATTGGGGTTTCTTCTCCTCAATTGAAGGAACTGAAATATGAAGAAAATGATTAGAGAATGAGAAAGAAATATTAAGGAAATAATCCACAATGACAATATTGTATTTGAGGAAAGAAAGATCAGGAAAGTAAGAGGAAAAAATATCAGAAATAAATGGGGAATGAGCACAAGGGTCTTCAGGAATATATCTGTCAAAATGTTAAGATAGCCCCTAGATGGATATCCCAGGGAGCAAATAATCCAAGACTTTAGTTCTAGGTCTATTTTAAGCTATTAAAACAACATAGGTAAAGGTAAAGGTTCCCCTCACACCAGTGGTGGGTTTCAAATTTTTTTACTACCGGTTCTGTGGGTGTGGCTTGGTGGGCGTGGTATGGCTTGGTGGGCATGGCTTGGTGGGCATCGCAGGGGAAGGATACTGTAAAATCTCCATTCCCTCCCCACTCCAGGGGAAGGATACTGTAAAATCTCCATTCCCTCCCCACTCCAGGGGAAGGATACTGCAAAATCCCCATTTCCTCCCAATCAGCTGGGACTTGGGAGGCAGAGAATAGATGTGGTTGGGGCCAGTCAGAATTTTTACTACTGGTTCTCTGAATTACTCAAAATTTCCACTACCGGTTCTCCAGAACTGGTCAGAACCTGTTGAAACCCACTTCTGCCTCACACATATGAGCTAGTCGTTCCCGACTCTAGGAAGCGGTGCTCATCTCCTTTTCAAAACTAAAGAGTCAGCACTGTCCGAAGACATCTCCGTGGTCATGTGGCTGGCATGACTAAACGCCAAAGGCACACGGAACGCTGTTACCTTCCCACCAAAGGTTGTCCCTATTTTTCTACTTGCATTTTTATGTGCTTTCGAACTGCTAGGTTGGCAAAAGCTGGGTCAAGTAACGGGAGTTCACCCCGTTCCGTGGCACTAGGGATTCGAACCACTGAATTGCCGACCTTTCTGATGGAGAAGCTCAGTGTTTTAGCCACTGAGCCACTGAGTCCCTCTAAAAGCAACATATTGAATATTAAATTCAATTGCTAAGAAGCTAGCTAAAGATCCTGTTGCTCTGTTCAGTAGGTCAATTGCATTTCTTGCCTGAACTGACACACAACCATAAGCATTCTGGTTAAGTGTTTCAAATGAAGCTGTAACAATTACACATTGGCCACTTTGTTCTATATTAATATATTGTGAAATGAGTTCCATTTTTTCTTCAATAATTTGAAGAATTTTTATAATGGCTTCTAAATATGCTATTTGTGTAATTACAGAGTATATTTTAGCCATATTGTGAACAAGGAAGCAGCTATAATTATGTGCACCTGAAGCTTCTTGTGGATACAAATTATGGCTATATTGTAAAATTGGCTACAGGCTGTCAAAGTATTTTGGGTTGCTAGGTTAATTAATACAGGTCAGCAAACCTTTTGAACCACAATTCAAAGAGTCAAGATCTGAAGCGCACTGTATACAAATCAACCTGGAAATTATAGCAGTCATTTAAAACTTCAATATTTTAAAAGTTGCAGACAATTATAGGAAACAAATGTATAATATTCTTACTATGTTTGTGTAGCAATATTATATGTCTATTTTTATAGACAGTTGAAGGCAGTGTAATGTCTGGTCTATTTGGATAGCATATACATTATAACAATAGTGATGATTTTTAAAAAATGAACTTATAGGATGTCTAGATCTTTAAAAACCAATTCTGATTTTTAAGATGTCTCTGTCGTATAAGATACATGGATGTAAAGAAGATTGGTTTTTGAAAATCTAGACCTAGATCTAGAGTTAGATCTGCTGTAAATAGAGATTCTACAAGTGCATCTCTCTCTCCCCCGTCTTTTCCACCCATATCTCTTCATATCTCTATATCATCTCTCTACTGTATATCTATAAGGATTGTGATTGATGGTGTATCATCTTTATCAATTTTTGATGCCACCTTTTGCTGCATAACTTTTTGATGTATTGTACCAGGTTGCATATGAATCTGACCATAGTATGGGAAGTTGCCATATCAACACCCAGTATCTTTTCAGTATGTTATATTGAAACTACTTGGGAACTTTGGGAAACAACCCAGCAACTTCTGTGTGCCAGAAGATATATACAAGAATGATGAAAAAACCAATGTTGTCAAGAAATACTTGGGACACTCATAACAACATATGGTTCTGTATGTGCTTATCTCATTTTTTTGGCCATGAAGAAGAACCTAACATGTTGTCCAAAGTATTCCATGAGTATGCAGGGTAGGAAAAATGGAATTTAGAGGCAGAATATTTTTTGATATTTATCATAGCCCCATCTTCTCCACCTGCAGTGAGGTCTTTGTGAGACTGTTTCTAAGCTAAGTCTCTCCCTCCAATGATTTCCTGATATCAAGGGAATCTAGATCTTTCAATCTTATAAGTAACAATGAGGAAGAAGGAAGACAAACCACATTTTCTCCTGAGGAGGTTTCTTTCTTTTTTCTCTTTCCTTTTTATCAATGGTTACTTCCATTCATCACAGATGAGTTAATAAAATTTTAGGCAGAATGCTCTTCAAAGAGACATGTTCTTTAAATCTCTGAAATAGGAGTTTCCTGTTTTTGAATTAATTATATTAACTATATAAAGTTACAGAAAGAGTAAAAAATCAGATCACATTAGAATGTGGAAAAGGGATGATACCATGATTAGTTTTTTATGGTGGCATCACAAAATTTATAACTTAGAAAACCATAGGTCTTTCATTTGTAGAAAAATGTGGAGTCCTTAACTGTCTTTCTATCAGCTGGGAACTTTAGCAGTTTCAGTGATTCTGCTCTTTTAAAGGTAGAACTGGGAGGGCCCTTTGTAACCGAGCGACAACCAAAAGACTATATTGTAGTTCAAATTGGACAAATAGAAGACACCAGTCCTAAAAGGAGACGTCAACAGCAAGTAAGACTTTAAAAATTTGAATCTCTCCCTCTCCCCCACCCCCGCTTACAGATCTGCTCATAGTCCTATCAGGCAATACAGTGGTGGAATTCATATTTTTTTTACTACTGGTTTTGTGGGTGTGACCTGGTGGATGTGGCTTGGTGGGCATGGCAGGGGAAGGATACTGCAAGATCTCCATTCCCACCCCACTCCAGGAGAAGGATACTGAAAAATCCCCATTCTTCCCCACTCCTGGGGGAAGGATATTGCAAAATCTTCATTCCCACCCCACTCTGGGGCCAGCCAGAGGTGGTATATGCCAGTTCTCTGAACTACTCAAAATTTCCGCTACCGGTTCTCTAGAACCTTCTGAATAGCACCACTGAGGCAATATGGGAAGAATCAAAAGTCCTATGGATCTTGAAAGAAAGATGCAGAAGATTCTAGAGACTAAAGCAGATTTCAACATGAAAATTGTATTAACAAGGCAAATGGGCCAAGAATGTTTATTTGTGTGCCATGTCATCTTAATTATTTCTAACTGGTTATCAGGTATAGGAGTAGAGGCCTGCAGTTTAAAAGGATTTGATAACATTTACACCTCTTCTTTCTAGCATATTAAAAGTTGGCATGGCATATATGGAAACTTTGCCATTTCATTAGTAAACAAAGACATTAGAACAGGTCTGGATGATGGAACATTGAAGACGTAGTGTTCAATGTTTGAATTTATAAGGTTAATTGCTTAGTTTACATAGACAAGCAAGAAAAGAGATCAGCAGGCATAGTTATAAGGCAGTAAGAAATCTGGGGAGCTTCCAGGTATAGGCAATTTCAGTATAATTACAGCCAACTGCAATTAGACATTTTTCAGCTCTCTCTGTTTTTTACAATACACCAATTCCTTTATTTTAAACTACCACCTTCCGTCTATAGGCAACATTTATTATATGAATATTTGTTAAATACATGCATATGTTTTGCCCATACAGTGAGAGCAGGCAGAGGGTATGATTTAGTATTTTCTTCCCAACAAAAAGTAGAGAAAAGGGGAATGAAACCTAGCTAGTTCAAAGCATTTTTCTCCTAAATGCCCCCTTCCCCCACACTTTAAAGCAAACAGAAAACCATGGGTTGAATGTACACCATTCTAATTTGATCCCCTGACACACTGATTCTTTATCCTTAATGGGTTCACACCCAATAGGATATAATTCCTGTTACTTCCATTGATCAACTGGCCATCTTGAGCTATTAGCTTAATTAAGGAATGACTGTCGCCCAATTTACTGTATATATTGCTGGTTTTTAAGATATCTATATGCCAATATGCCTAGAGTCTCTTCTATCCAATTAGCAACTGGAATTGGTGTATAAGTAATCAAACCTATTAAACTTCTTAATTCTTTCTTTTTTTGCAGATCTTATATAATTGGACTCTTGCATTAAATCTGAAGAAAAATGAGCAAGTTATTGTGACTAGAATCTTCGAGACAATGAATAGGTTGGTTCATGAATCCAATGAAACTCACTGAAAAAATATTTTATGTTTAATAATTATTTATACAGTTGCTCTAATTAGAATACATTATGACGGTAGATGAATGGGTGGCACCACTGCGTGTGCTACTATTATGCTCCTCTCCAATCATTTGAATTAAATCTTGCAATCTGTCTCATGGATCCCTCCTTTTTTCTTTTTCTGGGAAAAAGAAGGCTGCCAAGACATATCCTTTTTTCTTCATTGCCTAAATATTTAATTCTTCAGGTGGCATAATAAAAGATAGCAAAGCCATTTTATGAATGTTTACACTGATGTGTATTTATCTACAGGTAGTCCTCATTTAGTGACTAGTTAGTTCCAATGAAATGGTTGCTAAGAGATATGGTTGCTAATCAAACCATGTAACTTAGAGTGGGAGCAAAAGAAAGAGATGCTGGATGCTGCCATCTCATTCAGATAAGGTTTTCTTATACAGCACCTTGAACCTGACCAATTTTCTTCTCTTCTTTTTTGCCCTCATCGGAGTGGACAGATTGCTTAAACAGGCCATGTCTTCTGAGCTGTTTTTCTCTGCAGCTGTGTTCCTTTAAAAAGTGCTAACCACAAGTTAACAAGCTCATCTCTGCAACCTTAATTAGTTGATTAAAACCCTCTGGCTGGCTCCCTGCTGCCCAGAATTGACCAAACTTTAATCAATTTCACATGGAAGGCCTGCTTTTGTCATATATATAGGAATTGGTTGCCAAGTTCCTTTTTCATCATTGTTTTAATTATGAATGGTCACTATCTGAGGCCATTGCTAAGCATATCTGTATATCCTTGTGTCTAAATCTCTCTCTTCAGAAGTTCTGTTTTTGTGCTGGTTGTGAAAATGACCTAAAAAGTTCTCAATAATTTGAAATATTCTAAATCATCACATAGACAATATTGAAACAAGAATAATAGCAATGCTTAAAACCTTTAGCAGTATGAACTGGGGTGAAATTCAAAATTTTTCCCTACTGGTTCTGTGGGCGTGGCTTGGCGGGCATGGCAGGGGAAGGATACTGCAAGAGCTCCATTCCCACCCCACTCTAGGGGAAGAATACTGAAAAATCTCCATTCCCTCCCCACTCCTGGGGGAAGGATATTGCAAAATCTCCATTCCCACCCCACTCTGGGGCCAGCCAGAGGTGGTAATTGCTGGTTCTCCGAACTACTCAAAATTTCACTACCCGTTCTCCAGAACCTGTCAGAACCTGCTGAATTTCATCCCTGGTATGAACCTGTGGTCATTTCTACTCCAGCTATCAAATAGAATTTTAAAATTTCTTTCAACAGAAAAGAAAGCTCCCTAAGAATCCAGGCATTTCTTCAGGAATCAGAAATCATTCCTCTTTCTATGACACATCAGTATCTTCATGCAAATATAGAGGCTCAAGTCACAATAGCTTCAGTCATTTTAGCAGGTGTTTATGTTCTGATCGTGTTTGAGGTAAGAATAATCATTTTATTCAAGGGAAACAGAAGCAGAATTATTTTTGTCAGTTAATTAAATTGGGATAAGAATCGGTGCATTTCAGTTCAGTTCGCCTACAAGCCTACATCAATCTCAGTATCCTTTCATCTGATTTTTTTCCCATTGATTTTCAGTAACTTTTTATTCTATTTTAAACTCCCTGTTTCTGTGAAGTTAAAAACCAATTATAACATAGATCTCCGTGATAAATTATACTTAATTTTTTTTTTGTTAAAAAGATCACTTAGAACTCTGATCAATCCTATCAACCCTTCATAGGAACATAGTAATTAAACAGGAAGTGCTTAACATTCTGATTGCTAGTAATCACACTGGAAGCTATTTTGGTCCTTAGCTGTCTTTTTGGTCAGAAGGATGCCAGGCTGGAATGGGGAATCTGTGATGAAAAGGGGAAAAAAGTCATTTTATATCTCCTTCCTCCAAATCTCTCAATACTTCATAATACTCTTGTGCCTGCATAAGATTTGGAGCAGAAGTAGCATAATATAGTTTGACCTGCTAAACTCTGAGGCAGAACTAGAGAGCCCAATCTATGAGCAACCTACCAATCATATGTCATTTCAGTCCCGTCTTTTCAACTCCCGACCCCCAACAAGATTTTTTGGATGGTCCCTTTGAATCAGCATTGATTCCTTGCAACAACCTGCAGACAAGTGACTGCAGTTTTCTTGGGTAGATTTCAGAAGTGGTATTTGCCTGCTTCTTAAGGCTACTGACCCAAGGTCACCCAGCTGGCTTTCAGGCTGCCTAATTTCATCAGAATTCCCTCCAGTTATGGTTATACTATTTTCCATGAAGAGGCTAAAAGAAATACTATGGTTGTTCCATTAATCTACTGTCTTCTCATGGAAAAGGGCCATAAATCATCGTCTGGCTGCATGGTGACATCAGTATCATGTCTCTGGTGGCTCTTGGTAAGGTGAAAAACAAATGAAAAACAAATATAGACCCCTACCAATTAATGGGTCTGTGATATGAAGGATTTGAAGCATAGCCTGGTTACTAAGCCATTATGAAGAGATGAAGAAGTAAAACTTTCGCATCTGTCATCAACTGGTTAATATACTCTTGGATGCCTAGAGATACAATTCTTGAATAGCTTGGGAAATAGTGTACTGTTTTGAGGTCATTCCCCTTTACTTTGATCATTTTTTTGGAAACATATCTGATTCCTGATCCCCCCTCCTTTTTTAAGGCACTATTGGAGCTACAGAGGATTTGCAGTTTATAGTTATAATCTTCCATGTTAGGATTTTTTTCCTTCATAGCAGAATTTATTTCACAGAGCAGTAATTACTTTTTTAAATTAAATAGTTCCATTTCCACTATAATTTTTGAAGACCATCTCTTCTCCCATCAATAGATATAAGATTTTTATGTCTCTTTAAAATACGATAAAAAGTGGCCTGGTCTGAAAATTACGATTGCATTTAAACACTGGGTGGCACTGCTTGCTACTCTAAATTGTAGCAATTGTTCTGATTTTTGAGATGCTTTTTCACAGAGAGAAAATGCTTTTCGACCAGCATCAGGAGGGTGCCACTCCATCCCCTTAATGGGAAAAAACCCTCAATTTTCAAGGGCATCTACTTTTTAAAGTTTCATATTTTCTCCTGCTTCATGACATTCAGATTGAATAGTTCCACTGTTTAATAGGAGTGACGTACATTTCCCATCTTGTAGCTTATTCGTGTTTTCTTTCTTTGATGGCGTTGTGTTGGGTAAATTGAATGCTGCAATGCCACGGTCAGTAAGCCCAAAACACTGAGGGGAAGACAAAACAAAAAAAGCTTTTAATGTTGAACAAGTTACAACAACAGTCTTCCACTTATCTGTGCATGTGCACAGGCATGTACATAAATACTGTATATATAGAAAACAAATGGTTTCAAAAGGAATGAGTTGGTCAAAGACACAATGCTCCCGTAATATTTACAGATACCAAAAAAAATACTGAACTGGAGAAAATGAGGCTTTAAAGGAAGCAGGCTTTTAAGGAAAGCTTGGCTTGTTTTTTTTTTTTTTTTTAATGAGAACTATTTTGCAGCTGTTATTGATCATTAGGATCCACAATATTTCAGGGAAAGCAACAAAAATAGAGCAGTTTAATGATATGAGCAAATTAAATACAGATGTTTATTTTTTTGAAATTCTGTGGGGTTGGCTAATGTATTCTTATTTGATGCAGTAGGAACCTGGTAAAAATGTGGAGATCTAGTCATCCAGGTACAAATGTATTATTTCTCAGGAAGTTGTTTTAATTTTCCTTAGTTATTATGATTAAGTTATAATTTGGAACTTGGTCAGGTTTCCTCCTCTCCCTCTCCATTACTTGCAAGAATCCCCAACTGAGGTTTGATCCAGAAATGGTAACTATAGTTAACTACCCTTTCCAAAAATATATCAAAGAGTAAACTCAGTGTTATTTACTCCATATGTATATCCAGGATAATATAGTTTTGTTTGATCCTTTTTCTCTCAAAGTTAAACATAGGTAGTTTCTTCAAGGCCCTTCACTCTCATTGCCATTTCTGTTCTACTATTTCTGAATACTTCTAAAATTGTGGTATTTAGAAATAGAAATGGTATTTGATGTGGCTCTGACCATCACTGAAGATAGTAGAGATATATTGCTTTATATGATTTCATAGCTATATATCTATATATTAATAATTGCAGCCTAAAGTAGCCCTTGCCTGTCTTTGCATTTGTGTCACTCTACTGACTCAAATTCGTTTTGTGGTGAAGTACAATTCATTATGAATGATATTTTGCACCTTCAGGGAATGGGCTTATTATTTATATACATTGATTTTTAAATCTATGGTGAAGCTCAAATGCTTAGTTAACTGTTGGTGTGAATATACTAAATTACATACTGTATCTGTAGTGTATTAACTTGGATCCATCAACCCTTCAATAAATTGCAGTGCATTCTATAACAATTCTTTTGTTCAAGGGATATAGGGATATTTTTAGCTTCTAGCCAGCATGGTGGCACTTTCATTTTTATTTACACTAGTTTTCATCTTTATTACCCAGGATTACAAAAATCCTGATTTAGTGGACTTCAGCATAATAGACTTCAGATGCAGCAAATGAAATTTGTGTTGAGTTTACGTCATTTTAAATAATTTATATAATCAAATTATTATGATAATGCTGCAAATAATATTGCCAAACTGTTAGATTATAACATCAGAGAAATAATGTAAGCATGCAAATGGATGAAATACCTTCTCATTTAATGGCCAATCATGAATAACAGACATCGCTTTTCCACAACTGGTCTGTTAAATCAAGGTTTCCCTCTATAAGGAAGTGTCTCTATGTTGCCTAGTGATTTTGAACAAGAAGTTACTTCAAAAGTACTCTATTTCCTAAATCACCCCAAGAGAACAGTGAGCAACTGTATGTGTCTTAAATATCTGTCTCTTTTTGCCTTGATTGTAAATTGTCAAAACTGCTGCTAATGCTGTCCTGTAATAGCTGAATGGCTTAATCTTCCATCAAATCTCTTTTCCGCTGGTCTGATTAATCACCAACATTGTCATGGGGAATAATGTGAGAATTGGTGCTATCTGCACTGAGATCTACATATATATCATGTCCTAAGTTGTTCAAGTTCAGAGAATGGATGCACCATCTTGTGTACTAGGTTTATTTCAACTGCCATGCAGGTACGCACTCTTTATTTGTCACTATGAGAACCCTGTGGCCATTTGACATTTTTTGATTGGTGGAAGACATGCTTTTAAAATGACAGCAAAAACAGTGGCTGATAGCCTGAGGGCAAATACAGAGATAACTGGGTGGAACAACCTAGTTGACTAGCTGACTGGCGGGTGTACAAGGGAGGTGATAGCATACATAATAAGCTAGTTGGGTAGCTTTGCCAGAGGCTATTACATTTGGTGTTTTAATGTGTGCATGGATGTAGGTGGAAATATGATTAATAATAAAGAATGATGGTTGAAGAGATAATGGGAGTGTCAACTCGCGAAGCTTCCCTAACCTGCTCCTGAGTTGCCATAGGCAGGGGGATAGGGAACCGAGCCTCGCAGCTGCATCGAGGAATTTGTACCTCAGTCAAAACAACACACATCCTAGCCAGCCAAAGTCAAGGCCATCTCCACAGAAACCAATAACGGCTGGAGGGAGTGACTTCTACAACCCGTGAAATTGCTTTGTTGGGGAATGAGAGTGATGACACACCTTGGGGAGAGGGGGAAACAGGGTCAGAGGCAAGGCGTGAACTGAGTGGGGTCAGAGCTGGCTTCACTTGGTCCATGCCGACAAGGCACTCCGAATAAATAACTGGATTTTTCTTGAAAACTGGCTTGAGACTCCTGCTTTAATTAGGGCATTGGTCGGAACCCTGTTAGGGAAACTATATGTAAGAGAGAATGAATGAATGAGAGACTGAATAGAAGGTGGCTAAGCAAGAGAAGGAATGCCCAATTTTGTTTTGGCCCTGCTGGTTTCCCCAATGCACCTTGTCATAAGGAAATAGAAATTCAAAAAGAATATCTATCTTTAACCAAACCACTGATTAACTCAAACTATTCTGAGGCATTATATAATTCCAGAGTATGTAATATTAGAGTACTATATGGCTTAGCCCAAAATATTTCCAGAGCCTCCTTTTTAGCAGGAATTGTTCCATTCAATATGCTCATTTTTTGAGATGTTCTTGGTAATTCCCCACTTTAGTGAGACAAGGCAGTGTGGGTGTTAAAGGCCAGATAGTATAACTTTTCCATTATGGCCCTGGTATTATAGAATATAGCAGCTTTTACCTGGAAATAAGATTTCCCCATTATTATTTACTTTTCGGACAGTAAATATCGAAGTCTTATGGAGAGATTTTTATGGTTGTTTAAATAATGCTGTGCGTTGTTCTGATGTTTTACTATTTTTATTTTTATGAACAGTTTTTACTGATTATTATTTGT